ATAACACAATGCAAGTTATGCAACGTATGGTTTATAATAACAGTAGCATGACTCAAGGTTAAATATAATTAAAAATAACAATATTGTGTATAAGATGTATAACCATTTATTAATTAATTTTTGTGGAAAAAATAAATAAAAAGAAGTAATATATTTATTCATTTGAAATACTCTTATTTTTCCAACAAAAGGCTAATCTAGTACATACAATGAATGTGTAAACTGTACAATAATATAAATGTCGTTTGCTAGGTGTATGTGAGCCGCTGTCCAGACCCAATAGTCGGCAGACCGGGGAGTCAGAGTCCATATACTCCTCCAGAGAGTAGTAGATAAAAGCATATAAGAGGATTAGTAGATTTAATTATTTTAATACTAGTCAGGTATTTCCTATTTCAGTCGTTACAACTTTTAACATGTTCATTAGTTCTCAAAAACAAAATGATGATTAATTTGTTCAACGATTCAACTGGATATGAAACACAACTATTAGAAAACTTAATCAATAATACATGCATTGTTTGAAATACCATAATGTATAATTTGATATATATGATTGTTTCAATCTCAATGAATTTGAAGGGTCCGGATATCATGTTTAGATACAAGTACAAAAATTCAGATAAAATATCTATCTATATACGTAGTATCATTTTAAGCATGAACTTTTATCAACCTGTGACCTGAAAGATAGATGAATCATCAGTTTGGGACCTGAAAGATGAAATGTATTGGTATAGGGCCCGAATGGTGAAAAACTATCAATCTAGGACCTAACATTTCATTGGTTTTGATTTATTTAATTTTTTTTATTAATTCCATTGCTAATATTTGATGAATTCTTCTTCACAAAAGTTTATTAGTTTAATAAAACTAAATAATATTTATTTTTTAAAATAAAAATAATAAAATTCATGACAACTTAGGTCCTGTATTGATAGTTTTCAATCATCTGGGTCCTAGATTGATAGTTTTTCATCATTCAGATCATATAGCGATATATTTCATCTTTCGGGTCCTGTGTTGATAAAATTCCCAAATAAATTACATATTAAGGGAATCCGGCTGTGCAACGCACGGGTCGATTGAGTAGAATAATTAAAATAGGTTAAAAATCAATATCATATTTTATGGCGAATTTGTGCAAATTTGACATATTAATCATTACAAACATTAGTGGTAAGTAAAGGATATAAATAGTATGCACAAAAAGGTCATGACAAAATTATTTGGATGTCATTTTTATTTAGATGAAGTAGTAGTTGTCAAAGAAATGTAAATGAAATAGTACCAATACTCTATTACTGGATGTGTAATATGTATGATTACCACACATGTAGCTGAAATGAGAATGGATGATTTGTTTGAAAATATCCCGGAAGTCAATGACAATGATGACCATCACAATATGTTGTAATTTTATCATGGACAGTTTGTAATTAATATCTTTTATCATGGACAGTTTGTAATTAATATCCTTTTCTGGTTGTACTAATTATGAAGAATCTATCTTTGGGGTTAGTTCCTAAATATTACCAAATTTAAATCATTTTTCAAAAATACGACTATCGACAAAAATATAATTAATAAAGTCATATATTTGGAAAAAGATTATGTTACGCCCCTTAGATTTTGATGATTGTAAATGATAAAGTATGTGGGCTCAGGCCCACGGCCCACACACTCTTGGACACCTGAATGATCCAAGCCCATCACACTACCTAGGGCCCTTAACCAAATCCAGTCCAAGATGAAGAAATATAATCACTGTTTGTACAACCACCTTGGTGACGACAACTCGGCCCAAGGTCCCGGGACATGGAGAACGCTAGACCAAGGGTACGGTGCACCCCTACACCTCGGCCAACTGAGAACACCTGGCCAGAAGTCAGTTAAAGAATGATGGGCGTCAAATTTTGCTACACCCCAGGGCTCTCGTCCATAAAAAAGCCAGCACATGAAATGCATTTAATGCACCGCCTCATTAATTACTAGTATAAATACCCCCCGGGGGACAGTTGTAAAGGGTTTGAATCCCATTAATGCACATTACTTTCTCTCTCAAACTCGTAGCTCTCCCTTCTCTCTACAATATCACTAACGGTTTTCTGGGAAACTATCAGTAAAATTTTGTAACATTTGCTGCATTAAGTCATCAAAAGTAAAGTACTCGAAAGAATGAAAAAGATCAAACAAAAGAGAAAAAGCAGGTTGCTATTGGTTCACAGAAAAAAGCAATCTTTTGTCAGTCAAAGTTTACTCGCGTAAAAATAACATGTTGTTGTAAAGCAAAGGCTTCTCTAACTTGAGCCTGCTAGTAAACATAATTCATCAACAAAATGGTTTTTGAACTTGGTTTATGGGGCAAAGTTGACTATCACAATTTTCTCTACAACTTTCATTTTTTCAGCTAAGTCAAAATATGCAACATGTGACCATTGGACCCACCACCAGTCTGGTAATTGTAAAACTACCTTAACAATTATTTCCATACTCTAAAGTTTACTAAAGGTATTACGTAGATAGTATTGAAATCGTCGTAGAAGAAAAGACAAGGGACCCATGTACAAGGGAAAGCTTTGTCTCCAATTATTTCTCAAGATATTTGTTGATATCATGTTTGCATGGCGTAGAAAGATCTAAAGATCTCACCCTTATCTATCATATTGGAAAAATTATTCAGATAACACGTTAAAGAAGAAAGTCACAACTCGTGACACATGCAGACAAAAAGAGTCATGCCGCATCATAATCAGCAAGTGTAAACAAGAAACACCTTATGGTCTGGCAGTAGACTAGGCACTGAGTGTATTGGTTGATAATAACTTAGTGGAAATCAATCAGCTCGATGATGAGACTGGATGTAGGATGATTACATCACCTCTGAATCGTGATATATCTTGTGTCCTCTTAATTACTTCTAGTACCCATACCATCACAAACCATACACGTTTTAAATCCTATCTAAACACATATCTTACACAACTTGTTACAGTGACCAACAGACTGCTTTAATACAAAGTCAATCTATATACAAAGTCCATTTTTTTTCTTTTTTTTAAACAAGAAAATGAAATTTATTAAAAAGTAAATAAGAAGAGTACACAATGATGAAACAAAGCTAGTGAAACAAAAAAAGCAAGTGAAACAAAATCTAAAAAGGCCCTGCAAATCCACCACCAATCAAAGCCCCAAAGTAAATGTGGGCCGCGGGTATGCATGTGGTGCCAGTAATCTGCCAGCCTGCCAGTGTAATCGAACTGTGTGGCGCTTCGCATGTGCTATAAAGGGGGAGGAGCGTGCTACACTATCAGCGATTGCTTATAGTGTAGCGGTAAGCACAACAATCCACAATTGGTATCACAGCCAAAGTCACGGGTTCGACCCCCGGCAACAACATGTTGCGCAGTTGAGGCTGTCAGGTGCTGGGGGAAGATTGTTGGGCCGCGGGTATGCGGTGCCAGCAATCTGACAGCCTGCCGATGCAATCGAACTGCGTGGTGCTTCACATGTGCTATAAAGGGGGAGGAGCGTGCTACACTATCAGCGATTGCTTTTAGTGTAGCAGTAAGCACAACGATCCACAGTAAACGAAAAGCTCTCCGTCGAATTATATTAAGTTGCCCGAAAGAGCAACCCTATACATTAGCCAATTTTTTAGCCTTGAGACAAACACTCCTTTGTTTACTCCTTACTTAGAAAAGCTAAATCTAGCTTAGTCCATTTCCTTCACTATGTGTTTCTTCTGATTTGTAATGATCTCAAGTATTCTAAGACATCAACCTCAAATCAGTGACACCATCTCCCGAATGTAATTTTTCGCTAAATCAAAATTTCGAGAATACAATGAATAAGATATTGGTGATTTATATTAGTGATTAATTTTAGCAACATGAGATTAAATTTGTGGAACCCACGTTGGGGCAAGAACCTTGAATTATATTGGGGCAACATATTATATTTGTGACACCGCACCCGGATGTATTTGAATTTGAAATTCGACATGTAATTGAATTTTCCAGCGAATAAAAATCGTGTAATAGATTGGTATATTTAATTAATGTGTGATTAATTAAATTATTTATCGGACCCATAATAATGAGAATGGGCTACCAAGTATTTAGTTGGGTCATCACAATAACTATGGAAGCCCAATAAAATGCCAACTAAAGTTGAGAAAAACGTTTGGGCAACCCGAGTGTTATTTTGACCCAACCTGCCAAAAATTCGAGATTTGAACTGATACAATCTCATGGTACAAACCAATAAATTTGAAATGACATAGGTCCTTTTTTTAATATTAAAATTGTCCTCTACATGTCTTTTATATTGAACCTTACAAATTTCTTTATTGGCTGTTCGCCGTGTATTTAATGCTGTAAAATTTTAGCCACAGAAGCTGTAAAACCCACAACGATCAACCGAGCAACCGGTTTTTTATCATAGTACAACTCATAAGTTTGTAAAACCCACAATTTTTTTTTGTGGCTCTAGGATGAAAAGTACAAATAAGTTTGTATTTTATTCATAAAAGCAGCCCCTTTTCTTGAACCACACAACTGAAGCATTGGATAATGAGACAACATTAAAGAATTGCATTGGGCTTCCTACAGACCCATTTCTGCACCCATGTATAGTCCGACCCGACCCGTTACTGTACAGTCTTTGGGCGGGAATACTGTACAGTTTTCCGCCTGCTTTTGTATAATAGAAGATATGCAAGTTTGGGGTGTTTATCTCACACCCCTTCAAAGTTTGGAGTATTTGTATTATTTCCCCCCTATAAGGAATGACAATTGCAAAAATTAAATGAGAGATACTATATTTCAATATTGAAAATACAAGAGGGACCAAAATTATACTTTCTCCTTATGATGATGATGATATTAAGGAATTTCCTTGTTATATGTGAACTCGCGTATATACCTTGTAGTGGTAGACTTGAAGCACTATGTATGAATGCTCTCTCAATTCACCCATTGTATTATATGGTAAAATATATACTACGTATTTAGAAAACATTGTAAGACAACATTCCCACGTGCATAAGATGAATTGCTTACTTGATCTGGATTCGATCTATTGTTGTTGCAAAAAAACAAAGGGCAATGCCAGAAATGGCCGGTATACATATGTATATATAAGTATCAACTTGTGTTTCTTCATAAGTATTGCCTATGAATCCTAGCTCTGTTCTCCTCCCACCATACTCTGGCGTGCATCTCGCCAAATTTTTCACGGCTGCATTTTTCACATGACTCTCAAATTAAGAACCAAAATATAATCATCCCAAGGGTTGAGTTAATGGAAAACTATACTTAAATAAGAAACCATCTTGTTGAGAGTATACAATTCAATCCAAGTGAACACGATTATATGAATTGGGCGTATAGAATCATAGTGGCACCCCGGGTGACTTCAAAAATCATTTTATTGTCAACTATTCATTAAATGCTTATTATAAATAGTAATTAGATGCATTATTTATTTTAATTACAAGAAAAGACTTCATTTGAATGATCAACACTCATCATACCAATAAAAATGTGAAATTCAATTGCCATTTTAGGTACATCAAAGTTGGACATATATGGAGTTTGTTTTGAGAAAAATATTAAGATTGCATATACTCCTTATATCTTTTTTGGTAGCATACACCCTGTATATTAGATGTAGACATAGTGTATCATACTTTCTACGGAGTATTATTTTTCATTTTTGGACATGTTGCGAATTTATTAAGAATTCGTTTACTGGCCCATATATATTCCTATAAGAGATTCCAATTAAGGAACAAAAGTGGAAGAAAACTTTGGAAATGAAGTACGTACTTCCATTGCATGCATGCGCGCGCACACACACACATATATATGTATATATATATGTACAGGAATATTCCTGTCCAAAATTTCCGGACAGGAGCCCCGTCCGGCCTCCTCCATTTGGGGGCCTCCCCGGTGGTATTTTTTGCTCAAATGTTTTTTGTATGTTCCTCATCGAGTCTAGTTCATCCATACCAAATTTAAGCAAAACATTCAATTGGGAAGGTTGTCAAATGATTTTTGCAAGTTAACTGGTCCTGTTGCTATGTATTTTATTGTCACATTTATTTTTTTGCTACATTTTTCTCCTAGTACGTACACCATGTGATAGGTACGACACAGGAGTATGTTTTGCTTAGGTTGTTATGTACATAATTGTAGCCATATTATTTCTCCTAGTTTATAGCGTACAAGCAGGTAGCGGAAGTAATCCACACACTAGGACAATTGTATAAAGGCCTGGGTCTCGTATGGGATCATACACTCAATAATACGAAATTCATATTTACCTATTTGCTGTTTAACATGGTATCAGAGCAGTAACGAACAGGGTTGTTCCATTCACGAGACGATAATTAACAGCAACATGGTCGAAGAATCCTGTGCAGACGTTGTTGCGGTACGAGAAGGGAAGGATATTCCCATGCACAAACCAAATTTCACGGATGAACAGTGGCATAATTTTCTAAAGCTCCTGGAGAATTGTAAGACCGCACCACTTGATGAGGAGAAATTGACAGGTATACAATTTAATTGTCAATGGCTCCTGGACTCCGGCGCTTCATACCACATGACCGGCGATGCTAACGTTTTGAAGCAGACATGCAAATTGACTCCTATTTCGGTGCAGTTACCAAATGGTGAAATTACACGTGCAACTCATGTTGGTGACGTGTGGATAAGTGCACGATTAAAATTGGAAAATGTGTTGCTAGTACCTGGATTGCAATGCAATCTTATTTCGTTAGCACAATTAATTGATCAACGAAAATGTGATATATTTTTTACTAATGATAATGTGTAATACAGGACCTACTTACGAGGATGCCGATTGGAGTGGGTGAACGGCGAGGGGGAGTTTATATTTTCCGGAGTCTTGATCAAGCTAAGGCACATGCAGTGGAGGCATCAGACTCAGGTGACTTGTGGCACTCTCGATTGGGACATCCATCAGTGAAAGTTTTACGTTTGGTTAATTGTTTGAATAAAACATTGTTGAAGTCTGTTCAGAATAATACTTGTGATGCTTGTTTACGTGGTAAACAAACTCGTGATATTTTTGATGTCAGCTCTGCACGTGCTATTGAACCTTTTGAATTGATACATTGTGATGTTTGGGGTCCGTATCGCACACCAGCCACTGGCGGTTCGCGTTATTTCTTGACTATTGTTGATGATTACTCAAGAGCTGTGTGGGTCCATTTAATGCGAGAGAAAAGTGAGGTCAAAAATATTATTAAGCAATTTTTTGCCATGACCTGTCGACAATTTAATAAAACTGTGAAAGTTTTGAGAAGTGACAATGGCAAAGAATTTACTTGTTTGCGAGAATATTTTTTGACTCATGAAATAATCTTCCAAACGTCTTGTGTTTACACTCCACAACAAAATGGTAGGGTTGAGCGGAAGCACAGGCATATACTAGAGGTAGCACGAACTCTCCGATTTCATGCCAACTTGCCTATTGATTTTTGGGGTGAATGTGTGTTGGCTGCCGGATATTTAATTAATAGATTGCCGTCTCCTGTGATAGAGAATAAAATCCCCTACGAATTATTATATCACAAACCACCTTTATATACTCATCTTAGGGTATTTGGGTGTTTATGTTATGCACACTCTAAAGATACAATAGGTGACAAATTTGCACCCCGCGGTGTTAGATGTGTATTTCTGGGATATGCTTACACTCAGAAGGGTTGGAAAGTGTATGACTTAGAAAATCGCCGGCATTTTATTTCTCGTGACGTAAAATTTGTTGAAACCATTTTTCCATTCAAAATGATGGAAAATGATTCTGGGAGCAAGATTAATTTATCACATGACCACGATATTCCTTCTGGGAATCATGAGCTACTTGAGACCCATCTACGTGCATGTCATGAATTGGATGACACACCACCCTCTTCTTCCACATGGACGGATAGTGCCCCTCCAGCTACACAAATGGATAATACTACACACCAAAGCATGGGGCCGCAGGAAATCATGCACGACAGCATACCCATGCAAAAGGATAATCATGCATCTTTATCTTCTACGACGGATGGACATGATACGGGACCCACTGGCAGCATTGTTACTCACTCACCCGAAGTCAACCAAACCAACCAAACCAGAAGAGGAGAACGACAACGGCAACGACTAATTTGGCATCAGGATTATGACATCCAACTGAATACCGTGAAAATAAACTCCTCCCCCGTTATTCACTCACATTCGTCGGCTGAACCAGGTACTCCATATTCCATATCTCATTATGTAAATTATAACCACTTTTCGGTGCCGCATCGTGCTTTTCTTGCAGCCATTTCAGCAGTCAAAGAACCCTCTAGTTTTGGAGAAGCAGTGCGTGATCCCCAATGGAGAGAAGCCATGAGCCGAGAAATTACAGCTCTTGAACGAACGGGTACCTGGCGAATTCAAGACTTGCCGAAAGGCAAAAAGGCCATTTTCTGCAAATGGGTATTCAAAGTCAAATACAAAAGTGATGGATCGGTAGAACGGTATAAAGCACGGTTGGTGGTTTGTGGCAATAGACAATTGCAAGGTATTGACTATAGCGAAACCTTTGCTCCGGTTGCTAAAATGGTAACCGTTCGTACCATTTTAGCGGTTGCTGCTTCATGTCACTGGGAGCTTCATCAAATGGACATCGACAATGCATTCCTTCATGGGGATTTACATGAGGAAGTCTACATGCACTTGCCTCCTGGATATTCTTCTTCTCCCGGCAAGGTGTGTCGATTGCTTAGGTCACTCTATGGGCTCCGACAGGCTCCCCGATGTTGGTTTTCTAAGCTCACTGCGTCCTTGCGCACTTATGGTTTCCATCAATCACACGCTGATTATTCTTTATTTACTTTGCAAAAAGATCGTCGCATTCTGTGTGTCTTAATTTATGTAGATGATCTACTTATTACTAAAAATGACCGAGATATGATTCAAGCATTTAAGACGTTTTTAGCTACTTCTTTCCCAGTGAAAGATTTAGGAATCATGAAGTATTTTCTGGGCATTGAAGTTGCGCGGAATTCTACCGGGATTTTCTTATGTCAACGCAAATATGTGTTGGATATTTTGGCAGAATCAGGTCTGTCCGGGGGCCCGACCAGTTTCATTTCCTATGGTGCAGAATCATAAATTGCAATCGGATACTGGGCCTAATTTTTCTGACCCGGACCGCTACAGGCAGTTAGTTGGGAAACTCATTTATCTTACTTTGACTCGGCCAGGAATTAGTTATTCTGTACACATTCTATCCCAATTTATGCAATGTCCAAAGGTGGCGCATTGGGAAGCCGTTTTACGTGTTCTACGCTATCTTAAGAGCCATCCGGGACAGGGAATCTTATTACGGTCCGACTCCACTCTCACTTTAACCGGTTTTTGTGATGCTGATTGGGCTAGTTGTCCTGTCACCCGTTGCTCTGTGACCGACTACTTTGTTACTCTCGGACAGTCCCCTATATCTTGGCGCACAAAAAAACAGGCTACAGTCTCTCGTTCTTCGGCCGAGGCTGAATACCGATCCATGGCAGCATTAACGTGTGAGCTTATCTGGCTGCGCAACCTACTACAATGCTTGGGGGTCACACATTCTTCACCCGTGCAACTTTACTGTGACAATCAGGCCGCTCTACATATTGCTTCCAATCCAGTATATCACGAGCGAACCAAGCATATTGAACTTGATTGTCATTTTATTCGGGATTCATTTTATTCGGGATAATATTCAAGCCGGTACTATTTCTCCATCTTATACCTCAACTACCGAACAACCTGCAGATTTGTTGACTAAAGCACTAGGAGCATCTCAATTCTCTTACTTACTTGCCAAGATGGGCATCTGTGACCCCCATGCTCCATCTTGAGGGGGGGTGTTGCTATGTATTTTATTGTCACATTTATTTTTTTGCTACATTTTTCTCCTAGTACGTACACCATGTGATAGGTAC